CCCCCTACCTTTCCCTGCTGCCCCAGCCAGTGAATGAAAGCTAGGATGTGTTGAACAATGCATGTGAGGGATCTCTTCTACGTTTCCTCCTTCTGCAGCCGGAACCTGGGAGGGAAGCTGGGTGCCTCTATCACGGATATACTGGGAGTGGAGTACATGGGACAGCTGACCCTATTCAGTGAGTGTCAGCTCCAAACTCACTTTGGAGACAAGACTGGGTAAGTGATGCACTGGGTTCCCTCAGGTCTTCTAGATCTCCATAAGAAGCTAGGCTTGTGTTCTCCTTTTCAGCAGTAGATCCTTAGGCCATCCTTAGTGCTCAGGTTGCTGCTCTGGACAATTTGCTAAGGCCCTTTTGAGGGTTTCATTGTCATGAGCAGTGAGCTATAATGGTCTGTTAGGCCCATGCTGTGGCTTCTGATCTTTCCAGGTATTTGTCCATCCTCCCAAGATTAAGCCCTTGTTTGCTGTTCTAGAGATGCAACTCAAGCTCTCAAGCAGGTTAGAGAATATGGAATGGATTGGGAGGCAGGCAGTGCTCAGGCATAGCACTGGCTGATCACCTAGGTGTTGGGAGCTTAGAATAGCAGTCCCAAGCCTGAAATGCCAAGTGCCCAGAGCAGTGGCTGGGAACCGCTAGAGAAAGCTGCTGTTGAAGGGAGGGAGCCAGCTGGGGAACCTGAGCAGTGACTGTAGCTGAATGAAATCAGCTGTCTGGGGAGGTAAAACCATCATCTGAGTATAGTTATCCTTGTCAAATTGAGAAGCAGTCCATTGCTTCAGCTAGCTGAGGTCACCTAACTATGGAACCCCAGACATAGCCAGTATGAGAGAGGGATACGTTAGTAGCTTGATTAAATGGTTAACTGAGTGAGCCTTCATGGTTACATGCAAGACCTCCCCCCACTCCCCTCCCCACACACTACTGCATCTGTATCAGAGGTAGAGGGGGAGGAGAAGCAGGCAGGAGCTGGTGCTCATGGGGGGGGGGGACCAGTTTTTATGCAGACTGTCTCCTGTGGAGCTACTTGCCTTCTCCTCCCCCCTGTGCTGCTGCATTCCTGAGGCTAAATACTCAGTGATCCTAAATGAGGTGAGGAGGCGAGATGGAACATTATCAGTCTTAATCTCAGACCTCCCCTGGGGACTTTCAGGTCCTGGCTCTATGATATGTGCAGAGGAATCGAACAGGAACCTGTGAAACCACGGCAGTTGCCTAAGTCCATTGGTTGCAGCAAGAACTTCCCTGGGAAAGCAGCCTTGGCCACTCAGGAACAGGTAGGAGTGTGATAGATTGCCGCAGCGGAACTGGTTTAGACCTAGTATATGGGATGGCTGCTGAAACACTCTATAGGTTACAGCCTCTCCTCCCCTTGTGCTCAGGAGCTGCTCCATCTCACCGTGCTGAATGTAGTGCCCTGATATCAAGCTCTCAGGCTTTGTAGGCTCTGTTCAACAACAGCAGCTATGTAACTCAGCAGAGAAACCTCTCCCTCAGTCAGCAGAGAACAGAAGCCTCTCAGCCCTTCATACACTGGAGCGTGCTGACCAGTGTGAACAGAGGGTCAGGGTTGTTCCTTTGTCCTGCCCTCTCCTCAGCTGCATACCCAATACCTTCCTGACACTGATTAATTTTAAATCCTATTCTTGCTGTGCCTGAGGGAGCACCATGGTACTGGGTGTTTCAGGAGGAACATGTCCTGTGCACTATATTTTACCTTTGCTGTCAGATATGCTAGAGCATCTTCATCATCAGACTGTTTCTTCTACCTTGAGCTGCACTTAACCAAGGCAGACTAGGCAGGAGCTTGGAGGCAGATTCCCTCTGTCATCTGGCTGCCTCTGTCACAGTTGCTGGCCTTTATTTGTTACTACTAAGCCTCTTCAACGAGAATCCAGCTTCCTTCTGGAAAAGAGCCTTTAAATGCCTGGATGGAGTGAAAGTCCTTGTGTGACTGCAGCAGTGCAAGTGATGGTAAATTTGCTAACACAAATGTCATCAAAGTCAGCTGGGCCCCTACTGGGGAATACCTGTTTTTGGGCAGGGTGGGAGAGGGTTTTCTATGCACCCATATGATAGAGCAGTACAAAGCTGAACTCTTAATCTACCAGCCTGAGTTCAGATTAGGTTTATGTCAACATTCTCATGTTAGTAACACAAGGAAAGATAGAATTTCTAACAAGTGAGAGGGCAGGAGTGATGAGGGCTCTAAAAATCCATAGGATTTCTGCACTTGCTGCATTTCCCTGGGCTTGGGACAATGCCACTAGAAGATGCCTTATTCTTTTTGGATTCCCAGCACTGGCATGTGCGGCAGTGCCTGGCATGCTCTAGCTTCCGAGGCATGGATGGCTTCTCAGATTAAATCCAAACTCTGTCTCCCCAGGGTTTAATGATTCCCTGGAAGCTTTTGTGGTATCTTGGGATTTGTGTGAAACTGACCTGTTGGTCCTTGTCAAAGCCAAGTGCCCCTTCAGTGTTCCTCACTGCCTTGGGCTCTGGATGTCTGCAGCTTACTGAGTGTGGTACTGTTCAGGGTTGTTTGCCAGATTCTGTAAAGGCAGCTACTTGGATGTGTGTGAGAGTGTATCAGTTGTTGCTATGTGCTCTTCTTGCAGGTGCAGCACTGGCTCCTGCAGATGGCCTTGGAGCTGGCGGGGAGACTGAACAAGGACAGAGTCCAAGTAAGGAGGGGCTTGAGAGGGTATTCTGCCTTCTCTTGCTGTGGGGCTGGGACAGAGCCTACAGGGTCTTGGCTCACTGAGCTGACACCAGCCTCAGGGAGGTGGTGAATGGCAGAGGAAGTTGCCCTGCACTTAAATGCACATCTGCTGGCTGACTTTGAGTTGAGAGGTGCGGAAGGACCCAGAGAAGGAAAGATTCACCTGTAGGGCTAGAAGCACACACATGCACTAGGTCTGTGAGCCCTCACATACTGTATTTACCTGACTGTGATAGTGATGGAATGGCAGTTTGTCCTACCAGGACAGATTGTGGCATTGGATTGAAAAGTTACTGATTGGCCACATAGTGCTCAGGCTGAGCATGTTCCTGGCATTTATTGCTTTGTCCTGTGCAGCAGCTGTCTTCTCTCTGCAGAACTGCCGGGTGGCCAAACAGCTGAGTGTGAGTATCCGCATGCAGGGCAATCAGCGAGCCAGTGCCCTGTCACGCCACTGTGCCCTGTCACGCTATGATGCCCATAAGATCAGCAGTGATGCCTTCGCGATCATCCGAAACTGCAACATGGCAGGATCTCAACAGGCTGCATGGTGAGCAAGTTCTCTTTCTGGCCTCAGGGTTGGTGTGCTGGAGGAGGGGGGTTGGGCTGTGCCCTGGGAGGTGACACATGCAGGGCAAAGGGGAGGTACTGAGTACAGACAGGAAAAGGGATTGAATTCTTAGGAAGGAGCTTGATTTGGCAGAGGGAGTTGAGGGCCCCTGGAGTTGGAAGAAAGTAGGCTTCCCCTGGGGGGCATCAGATAATGGAGTAACCACTGAGATTTGGTGCAATTAACACTGTTATTAAATAAAATATCTAACATCCCTAGCAGAGCCAAGGTGCATATTATCCTGTGCTTAGCAGCAGGTGAGCACTACCCATCCAGAAGGAGCATTATCCTCCCCTATCTCCTGCCATGCAGTGCCAGCTTCCACATTCAGCATGCGGGGGTGCCAGTAGAAAAGGGGGCAAGGCTGCACCCAAGACTGTGCTCCTGTAGAGTTGGAATGAACTGAGCTGTACCTGCTGCAGCATGAGTACCTGACTGGCTTGAGCTCAGGGTGCCATCCCTGGGCCAATCAGAAGAGAATGGCTGTGCTCTGGTTGTATGGGGACAAGATGTTAATTGAGCAGAGAGGCTTTGAGGGAAATAAATGCATTTTAACCACAACAAGTTTTCTTTCAACCCTTATCTCCTAGCTCAGGCAGGAGGATGCAGTATACTGGGCTCAGAGCAGCAACTCCTCCTGACTGGGAGCCTGAGAGTTGCTAGGGCTGTAAGATGCCATTTAAAAAGTTAACTGGTTAAACAGTATGTGTAACCAGTTAACCCTGGAGGGCTGGGCCCTTGTACCATGGGTAGGGAGCTATTCAGGCTCCCTGCCATTATCCAAGGGGCCTGGCCTAGCTTCCTCAAGGAAGCACCGCTTTGCTCCGGTCAGTGACACAGGCAGTCTGCACTGCCCAGGCTGCTTAGTGCAGTGAGAGGGGGAGGAGAGGTATTAGCATTTTGCCAACAGGCATGACTAAGACACACTGCTCTCCCAGCCCACAAGTGTCCTGTCCCAGCTGTCAGCTGCTACACTGTCCCCATGCCCAGTGAAACTAGACACACTTATTTAAATTCTGCCTTGAAAGGCTTCTCACTTCATGGGCTGAGTCTGAACTGCTGCTAATCTGCTTTCTTGACAGGTCCCCTCCTCTCACCTTTCTGCATCTCACTGTGAGCAAGTTTTCGGAGGCTCCAACGCTCTCTCCTGCAGGCATTGCTGCCTTCCTGACTAGTGACACCCAGTGTACGCTACCAGTGGGCACCGGTCCATCCAGCCCAAATGCCAAAGGCACTGGGAGCCCAAGAAAAGATCCCAGCAAGAAGTCCACAAATGCTATTGAGTCCTTTTTCCGGAAGGCAGCAGAAAGGCAACAAGCTCATGTGGTTACAGGCCCCTGCCTGCCTGACATCCCTAGTGCAGGGGCAGAATTGTCAGTGCCTGAGCCCTGTGTCCACAGTGCGAGAGACGGTGCCATCCTTGGCAAGAGTCTGGAAATGTTTGTGAGGCACAGTCCCAAGGGTTGCAGCTCTCCCTCCCCTTGCAGATGGCTTCCCCCTGAGGAGATGCTCGCTGACCATGCAGAAACCCCTTCTGCTGGTCCACCCTCTGGGAGTGTCCTAGAAACAGAACCAGCTGCTTCAGAGCTACCTGAGTGGAAGCAGCAGAGTCTGCCACCATCTGCTGAGTTTGCACCAGGCCCTGCCAGCTCATCAGCTGACAAGCTGCACTGTGAGAAGTGTGGGCAGCTGGTGCCAGTGTGGGAGCTCCTGGAGCACATGGACTATCACTTTGCTGTGGAGCTGCAGAGCTCCTTCTCAGAACCCAGCCCCATCAGGACTCCTGTAGCTACTTCTAGTTCTCCTGCCAAGGGTAAAAGCAAAGCCAAGACCCCTGGAGGCTCCAATGCAAAGCGCCCCAGGCAAGGAGTGACCAGGACTCTAGAATTCTTCTTTAAACGGCTCCCTCCTTAGGACCACCAGGTCCATTTTAGTGTGAAGTTGAGTGATTTCTGAAGTTTTTATCCTTCCTGTGAACTTATCCAAAGATTGCATAATAAATGTCTGCAGTGAGTGAGACTTTTGGGGAAACATGGCAGAGAAATGCATCCAGCTTAACACTTGACACTGCCTAGTACTGTTCCTCCAGAAACAGTGTCAGGATAGTGTATCCTGGGTAATGCTCAGCAAGTTCCCATGTCCCATCCCTGGGCATTTGAGCGCCACAAACAGTAATGGATGTTGCACATGCAATGTGCTGGAGAGTTGGGGAGTGATGTCACCCCCATTTTACAGCTGCGGGGCTAGGGTATAGCATGATGGTGACTGCCTGATGTCACAGGAGGCTCAAGTACAGTCTAGGAGTGAGCCCTAACCCCTGCAGTGCCTTAACCACAGGATCTTCCTTCCTGTCTAATATTCCTTGCTGCTGCCTGGGTAGCTTAGTCCTACAGCAGGGACAGAATTCCTCTGATCAGTCTTTGTCTGAGATAAGGCAGAGAAGCTACCATCACTGCTAAGGTGTGTCTCTGCAGCTTTGTTCTGCTGTCCTGGTCTCATGCACTGAGAGATGATTTTATTAGCTCTAGCCCCCTTTAGGGAGGTTCTCTGAACCCAAGGCCTGCCATAATACTGAGCCGGTTTTTCTTCCTCCTGGGGCAGAGAGATCAAGGCCTGGGAGAGTGCATGGCTGTGGCAGAGTTATGGCTGAACACTACAGGTGAAGAGGATCAAACTGCACCTGCAGAATCTAGTACTGGCTCAGAACTGGGCTTTAGTGCACACACAGCAGACTGCTGTAGCCCTCAGGTGTGTCTAGATTTTGCCAGCTGTCTACACTGGCCGCTGGAATTTGCACAAGAGCACTGACATTCTAGTGTAAGAATTCAGTGCTGCTTGTGCAAATACTTTGACACTCCTGCTCAGGGATAAGCCCTCTTGCACAAGAGGGCCAGTGTAGATGGGCACCTTTAATTTTTTGCACAAGAAAGCCTGATGGCTAAAATGGCCATCGGAGCTTTCTTGCGCAAAAGCGTGTCTCTACTGGGCACAGATGCTTTTGCGCAAAAGCATCTGCCAATCTAGACTTTCTTTTGCAGAAATACTTTTAATGGAAAAACTTTTCAGTTAAAAGTATTTCTGCAAAATCACACCAGTCTAGATGCAACCCTCATGTGTAACAAACTTGTGCTTCCTCCCAGGTGCCTTAAGTAGCAAGGTCACAGCTCAATGGGTCTCTGTTCTATTGCCTTGGTAATGAAGTGGGTATAGTTAAAGTCTAGCCCTACAGGCCTTGGGAATCCTGTCTCCCAGAATCAATCCTAGGGGGTTGCAAGGGAAGAGGAGACTGGGCTAATGGAGTCCCCATCACCCAGTCTACTTTGATTCTAATGGTGATAGAAATGTAGCCGTGTTAGTCTGGGGTAGTTGAAGCAAAATGCAGGACAATGTAGCACTTTAAAGACTAACAAGATGGTTTATTAGATGATGAGCTTTCGTGGGCCAGACCCACTTCCTCAGATCAAATAGTGGAAGAAAGTAGTCACAACCATATATACCAAAGGATACAATTAAAAAAAAGAACAAATATGAAAAGGACAAATCACATTGCAGAACAGAAGGAGGAGGCGGGGGGGTGGGAAGGGGGAGGAAGGAAGGTAAGTGTCTGTGAATTGATGATATTAGAGGTAGGGAGAGTGGGATGTTTGTGAGTTAATGGTATTACAGGTGATAATTGGGGAAACTGTCTTGATAATGGGTGAGAAAGTTCAAAGACTTGTTAAGTCCCTGGTTTGTCTTCTACCCACACATGCAAACAATGTCATGTGCTCTACTTCCCCTTGTCACTGGACCAATTCTCTGTGACACAGGTATGACAATGGTCTTTGTGATTCTTGCTGCCTGCCTAGAGAATGATAGCTCACCTTGCGGGGATGGAATAGGCTGCCTTGGCATTTACTACCTTTGCAGGTAGCATTGGTGTGTATCGAGAACAAGTCTGAATGGAGCCAAACTGCATTCAGTCGCTGAAGAGCCTCTAGTCTGCACAGAGTTCAGTTCAGAGGGAACTAACCCTCCCACTGGGTGATTCCTTGAGGTTTGGGTTCGTGTCAAAGCACTAGTCACTGCCACACAACTGAACTGAGCACTGTGTAGGAAAAGCAGCTCTGGGTGTGGTTTGGAAATTCTAGCCTTGCAGGCAGTTTCATCAGTTGTAAGATTCCCCCCATCCCTCCCCCTTTAGAGTGAGCAGAGGGACAGCCTCAAGCTCCTACTGCTGGCTGTAGATAGTAGGGAGCCATTATAGCTGTATTAGCACGACTATTTCCTTTCCCTTCCCCCACCAGCTCAACTACAGCAGCAAGTTCTTGCATCAGCTGCTAGTTCTGCCTTAACCAGAGCCTGCTGCTTTGATCTGCTCTGGGCTACTCCTTTGCTAGTGCAGTTCCAGTACCTTCCAGCATATCTCACTCATGTAGCTTTTCTGAAGATGTTGGAGGAAGGGATTCTGCCTCAGAACTGCCTGTAGTCATTTGGGAGGGACAGAATTAAAATGACATTCCCACTAAAGTTAGGTTTGCCCTTTAGAAAGAAACGTGCCCCCTCCCCACAGACATTACAACCTGTTTGGTGGGATTGCATCACTTTGCTGTCCTACAGGGCCATCAGGAAATGAAAATGACTCAGGTGGTGGCCAAGTCTATAAAACAGAAAACTGAATAAATGAAAAGCTACATCTAAGCTGGGATCAGCTGACAGGTTGTCAAATAATAAAGGGTGGAGACAAGTCCAGCAAGCCACCCTCAGTGATGCAGAGTGCAGAAATTTGTCCTGTACTTCAGTCCCTTCAAGGAGCAGCACTGGAGCATTTCCAGTTTTGTTTAGTCTCCTGTGTATAGGTTTGGATTAGATTGCTTGAGCAAGTAAAATGTCAAACATCCACATCACTATAAAATGAAAACATTGGTTCAGTGATAAGCAAGTCAGAATGCTACTTGAGGATTTAAGAATCACAACATCTGTCATGAAATAGTGTGCCCCACACGCTCACCACTGTAAAAATATAGATCAATAAAAAATGCTTACATTGATATTATCCATCTGAATTAAAGAATCATTCTGCCAAGTCTAGTGCTGCAATTGTCTGTTTGCAGTCAGCTGCTCCCCACCCCCAACTTTACATACGGCTTTTAAATTAACCTGAGCTAGGTCAAAGCACCAGTGAAGGTCACATGGCGTCTAAGCCAGCCCCACCCACTGCAATAAACACTGTGCTCAGAGTGACGTGGCTGTCAGCTACCTTAGCCACACATTGGATCAGGCCCAGCTCAGCAGGCAATATGTGCTTATAAGCAGTGACATGTACAGTCCTCCACAGTACTTACAGGGCCCAGCACAGATTGTTTACCAGGAAATAGAGAGCAGCTGGGAGAGGCTAGAGGGCTCCGCTCAAACATCCCCTGTCACAACTCAACCAAAGTTCTCTCTCAATAAAACATCTTTATTCTGTACATTATATATAGATGCCAAGGAGATGGAACCCGTCCCTCTGCATTAGAGACTCCAGGACAACAGTGAGCACAAAGAGCATGACACTGAGAACAGTCACGCCACAGAAGGTGGGAGGAAGCGCTCAGTCCCATCAGCTCTCCCAGGGAAAGGAGCAGCACCTTAAATGTGTGTCACTGCTGAAGATTACTCCAAGATCACTGCAAACAGCAGGAGGAGATGCCTTCTCCCAGGGCACCATTATTTGTACTTAGGATAACACAGGAGGGGAAGTGCTTGCTGGGACTCTGTCCTCCCTGCAGGGGCACACACTGTAATGGAACCCAGTACTACGTGCCAGAGCTGAAAGGGGAAGGGTCCCCTTTTCTAAGATGATGTGTGCAGTGACTGAAAGGGAAAACAAACAGACCAAGCCTCCCCACAAGGTACTGCCAGGAGAGTGGATACATTACCACACCCTGGGAAGAGGCAAAACCTGCTCACAGCTGCTATTAACAGCAATAACAAGATGGGCTTGACCTACAGTTCTTAGTCTAAGCCAGAAGGATTCAAGCACAAAACATGGTGGAGGGAAAGCAAAGGAGCTAACCCTTCACAGGGGAGGAACAATTCTCTCCCTGCAGATCAGCTTGGTGCATTTTAACAGTCTGCAGGCAGGGATTCCCACCCCCACACAAGGTTCTCCACTACAGCAAAGGGCATGGCCTATGGTGAGGAGAGCTGCTGTGACAATGTCACCAAACTGATGTGAGAAGCTCAGTCTTGCATGCACTATGGATGCCGATCACCCTAGCACAAGACACCGCGTGGAAGGCAGCATAGACTGAGCATTACTGACATCACCACACCTGGAGCAGAGAGCACAGTCACTTCCCTGTCCAGGCAGAACACTACCCTGCTCAGGCAGCAGTGCGTGACCAGCTCCATTCGATATCACCAGTGCAATCAGAAGCCTTGTGTGCAGCTATGCAGCCTCCCCTGTCCCCCGTTTCCAGCTGAAGAGCACAGCAGCAGCTGTACAGGCCAGTACTCAACACTTGATACTTGAAGGGGACAGCTGGGGAAACAGAGCAGCAAGTGTTCCATCTCCCCATGCACCTACAGAGCCTCTGGCTGTGCTGGTACCCACCAGCTCCCCATGGCCAATGAAACCTCATAGACAAAACAGGAAGTTTCCCTTAAGTAGAATGTGAGAAAAAAAAAATCACTGCAATAACTTTGTCGGATTGCACCCAACAGGTAATCTTCCTCCCTGGCCAGTACGGCAGCCCCCTCTGCCTCTCCTCGAGAATTAAGGCAGGTCCCCGAGGAGCAAGCTGGGCTGCAGCACAGACTGATTGCCACAGGGAAATCATCACAAAAGAACTGCCACAAACTCGATAAAGGGGACTTCCTGCTCAGTTGAAGCAGACGGCAGGCAAGCCCAGCTGTGGGGCCAGCTCTGTTACCCCAAATGGCCTCCTGCTTGGGGCAGCTCGGCTGCTACAGTGAGCAGAGGGCTAGGAGCACAGACTCTGGCTTCAGGCAGGTTCCTGAAGATGCTGATTGCATTAGCGAGAGTGAGGCAGCCCCACTCACACACAAGACATGACCACTAGGAGGGGCACATACCTCGTCACCATCTGGCAAGGTCTAGTCCAGAGAGGAGGTCCCTGTTTGCACTGGTTTGGGGAGGTGCGTAGGAGCCTCTGATGGGGCACACGTGGGATTAAAATCAAGATTAAAAGGGCTAAAAGTGTCCTGAACTCTTGATGGGTTCCTGTGAACCCGAGTTTAACCAAGCCCCTGCATTCTGGGTTGCTAGGCCTCCTTTGCTGGTCCAAAGGTCTCTGCTCTGGAGGGAAAGCCTGAGGCTGGGAAATGGGCACACACAGTTGGGTCAGGCTCAATACTGCCAGAGATGCAACGAACTGATTCTGGATCAGAGGTGGCAGGATCCCTTCACTGCTGCTCAGCACCTCAGGAGCTTTGCGTCAGCCAATAACTTCCCACCAGTACAGTAAACAAAGCCAGGACTCACCCGCCCAGACCGAGGCTGCCTCTGGTCTATTGTGGAGGGCAGGATAATGAAAGCAGCAGACGATGCAGAGACAACATGCTTAACTTGCCCCAGGAGGGGTACTGAACACAGGGAGCTCTCCTGGGCTCCATCACACAGTGTGAGGAGAAGCCCATGCCAGACCCGGACAGCAGCAGTTCCAGTCATGTGAAGGGCCAAACTTCTCCCATCTTTCTCCTCCTTCATTGCTGGTGTCTGGAGATTCCCACAGACTAATTGGGAGTCAGAAGGTCAAATGCCCAGGCCCCAGAGTCTCCTCCAGGCTATTCTCTTCAGCACTGATAGCTTGGAGGTCAGTGACGTGCCCAATACCTTTGGTGACTCCTTCACGGAATAGCAGCTTGGCACCAGTCTTTAAGTATTCAGGGTGTTTGATGAACCGGAAACGCACAACAGCCTTCTCCCCTGTCCGCAGCTTGTCCTGAGGGAGAGGAGCGAACAGTCTCACAAACAGGAGCATGCCCACCCAGTCCTCTGCCTCCATATCCAGGAGCCGTGGAAAGTCCAAGGCAGAGAAGATAGGAAGGATGCAAAACAAGATCCCCTCAGTCTCTTCCAGAAGCCACCATTTAAGGTGGCACAGCTTGTGGCCCTCTCACTACAGTCAGGAGACTGTGAGAAAGGAACTCTGACTTCCAGCAAAGAGCTCTGGAAACCAGGGGGCTACTCCTGTGCCCTGCTCTAGTGACACCAGAAACCTGTGGGACAAAGGGAGCTTGCTGGGAAGAGAGGAAAGGCAGGACCCAATACAAGTCGAGTGGCATTAGCAGGAAGGAGTGAAGTGAGACTTCCTGTGATTTCTAATGAAGCTAAGGAAATCTAATGAGCCAGAGCAGGCTGGGGTCTGAGAGGCTGCCAGAGTGGTAAGAATCTCACCTTTCCATGGATCTTCTCCACAATGGCCGTCTGCCGTACGTTCCCCACATGCACTGTCACCTGGAATCCCTTCCGGAAAGTTGTGGCATGGAAGAGCAGCACAATCTCAGCTTCAAATACTGAGCAGATGGTGGGGTTCATCTCCGGGCTCACCATCACCATGCCCTGCACAACAACTTCAAGCTCAAAACACAGACCATCAAGAACAGCCCTTTGTTGTTTTTGAGCCCCACAGGCCTTCCCCCCCAGTTGCTTCCATCCCATCATCTGAACCCCATTTAAAGCTCCATGCACCCATCTCAAGCCTTGAGGCCAGCTACCCCACCACTGGCAGTAGGACAGGATTGGGGTGGAGTTTCTATTGGGGATCCCCTCAAGTAGGCACCTCAGAGTAAGCACACTAGTCCCTTCCTTCCTTGCTCAGGATCCCAGGGGCTGATCAGCCAATGCAGTCAAGGCAAGCAGCAGCTCCCTGCAGATGGGAGCAAGTCTTACCTTGCGCAGCAGGGAGCGGTCAAAGGGCCCAAGGGCCAGTGTGGCAGCTTGTCCTGCGCGGAGCACACGGCACTCGGAGCGGTTCCGCTGGATGCTGCACACCTTCAGCCGGAGGAACTTGCCATCATCCGTGGGGCCAACCACAAGGCTCTCCCCCTCCCTGCAGATCCCACTGCCAGGGGCACGAGAGCAGGACCAAATTTAATCAGAGCCACAGGAGAAGATGCCCAATGAGATTAGCCTGCATAGCTTCTCTGAATCCCACTGGAAAAAGGGTCTACCAGGACCTGGATGCTGCACACCTTCAGCCGGAGGAACTTGCCATCATCCGTGGGGCCAACCACAAGGCTCTCCCCCTCCCTGCAGATCCCACTGCCAGGGGCACGAGAGCAGGACCAAATTTAATCAGAGCCACAGGAGAAGATGCCCAATGAGATTAGCCTGCATAGCTTCTCTGAATCCCACTGGAAAAAGGGTCTACCAGGACTCTCCCTCCCCAGTGTCTGGCCAACGAACTCAGCTGTCTAATGCAACCCTCTGAGATCCCCAGGAGCCTGACCAGCCAGTGTCCACTTGCTCTTCCACTCTGTCTGTTCCAGCAGAAGCAGCAGAGAGGTGATCTGCGTCAGTGCTAGCACTGCCTGGGATCCCCAAGAGACGGGATGCACTAGACTAGCCCTGGATTCCTCACCAACTACAAAAGCTGTCCCACACGTTGGGGAGTATGCACTGTCCTGAGCAGACCCAAGAGTGCTGACCTGCTGTCCCTCCTCCCAAACTACTCAGCTGCTGCTTGATGAAGGGTTTCTGAAAGTCTAATGAAAGACACACCCTTCATGAGGCCAGCCACGCTCTAACCACAGCCCTATCAGAGGGCAAAGCAGCTGCCTCGGGTTGCCACCAACACATTAGAGCTCTGCTCTGGAGACAGCCCAGCCTCTTGGTGGAGATTCCCCCTACCCTGCTCCCCACCCCACCTAGGAGAAGGGTAAATTCAGCCTTCACATTCCCCACTCCCATTCACATGCAGTTTTTTTCCCCAATATTGCCCTGCCCATACAAGAGAACTCAATTCTCTGCGAGATCTGGCAATGCTCAGCCCACGTTCTCTCCCCACAAACCCTGATCCCTCTGAGCTCATCCAAGTCACTGCGCTCACAGCAGCATTCACCTGGACAGAGTTCCTCCAACAACAGTCCCCACTTCAGGCACGGTATAGATTTCATCCACCTGCAGCAGGGCAACAGAAGCAAGCTCTTTAGATTCATTGTGCACCTGGGAGACTAGCGCCTCAGAGCTGGAATGAGCCACCAGCCACCCACCAAAAGCTACAGACGAGCCTTCTCTGCCCTGGGCCATAACAGACCTGTTTCCTGCTCCCACTGTTGGCAGTTCTGAAGGGTCCCAGAGCAAAGCCGACACCATACAGGTCAGCGATGTGTCCAGCACTTCTCTTGGGTTGAACTAAGCTGGACACTCAGCTACCTGGCAGGCCCTTTCAGAAGCAGCACACAGATGTGGGGCTGGTTCCCCTCTGTATTCCAGCTCCCCAACCTCCTCATTACTCCCGTGGTTCAGCACATTACTCCCCTCACCAGACACAGGGACCCTCGTGCAGCTTTCCCTCAGGTAGGTGCTCAGATAATGCCATGGTAATGGGTTCAGTGAAAGAACCTCAGTCCAATGTTCGCACGTACCTGGAACTCTGTAAGCTGCTGCATGAGCTCCTCCTGCTCTTTGCTGTTGGTCAGAGGAGGAAGGATGTTGAGGAAAACTTTTAAGAGATCCAAGTTCTCCCCTGAAACACTGGATAGAGTGAAGATCGGGGTGATGCTGCCAAACACACACAGAAAGGAATGAGCAGGGGGCCACAATACAGCTGCAAAACCCATCCTGGGGAAAGTACTGCAAGGAATTGGCTCCCAAAGGGACAATACATGAGCTAGATGAGACCTAACAGAGACAGCACTATGAGTGCCTTTCCAGAGGTTGGCCCAGGCCATCTGTACCCAGCCAATTCAGGCCTCCTCCCTGGAGCTGTGTCTTCAAGGTAAGCCAGGAACACATTCACCCTCGAATCAGTCACTGGCACTTGTTCCTGGTGCCCAGAAAAGGCCTGGGAGAGGAGGCCACGCAAGAAAGGAGTGGGAGTGAAACCTGGGGAGAAGACAGCTAATGCCTCCTAAAGATATGGTCTCCCCCCATGTGAATTGAGCTAGTAAAATCCCAACAGACTACGGGTATATCTACACTGCACAGCTATTTCGGGATACTGGAGGCATCCTGAAATAGCTACCCCGCATCTACGCAAGCCGCCCGTTATTTTGAAATATTTTTTGAAATACTGGGATGCCAAAATAGCATGTCCGTTAACCCTCATTCCATGAGGGTTAAGGGATGTCTTGAAATAGCACATTATTTTGAAATTTGGCACCGTGTAGATAGCCAAATTTCAAAACAGATTCAAAATAAGATACCAAATTGAGTCTCTTATTTTGATTCTAGGGTGCAGTGTGGACACACCCTAAGCTCAGCTGACTCCCCCTGCAGAAAGGATGAAGGCTTCTTACTTGGGAGACTGTGCAAACTGCTGTGCTGCCGTGACAGCGTCATCATCTGAGTTGACTAATAGGGGCAGCTTGTTGCAGCCTGGCTGCTTCAGGATCCGCTCCAGCTGCTTCACTGTCCGTTCCACAGTGGCTTTCGAACACAAGTCCACTTTGCTGATGACAATGAAGAAGGGAACCTTGAGGGCCATGGCCAGACCCAGGTGCTCCCGCGTGGTACCTGCTACAAGAGACAAGAGAGAGCTCAGCTAAAAGGAGCATGGGCACAAAAGACAAATGCTCACAGGATGTGACCATCTCCCAGCTCAAGAAGTGCCCAAGGAGGCCATCATACAGATGAGGGTGCTGTGTCACGCTTTTGCTCAGCATGTCAGGCAATGGCAAGGGGCACAGCTTTATAATTATCATTCCAGAAAGACACATCAGGGCTTTTCAGGGCCAAGGCACATGCTTCTGCTCCATTAGGACCCAGGAGTATCTCTCCAAGAGCTAAGAGATTAGTCAAAAAAGTGGCTGTCCAAATGGCACGGGGAAAGGTTATAGTTTACTTTGGGATCCAAGATACCCCGCTAATATATCAAGGGGATTTCTCCCTGACATGCTCAAAGTGCCCTCAAATGCTACTCAAAACTTTCCTGCCATGGACACCACACTCAGTAAGATAGTCATCTCTTAAGTAATCAAGGTGTACAAGGCAGCCAAACTCCCAGCTCATCTGCTGTGCTCACTGCTGCATTGGAATCACTGGGTGTCAGGAGGGAAGTGGAGTCAGGATCATTTTTTCTGACTATTACCACCCACTAGCTAGCATCTACCACTCCATTGCTCCAAAGCATCCTGCCAGACTCTCCATGCGTTCCCCAGGGAAGGTCAGAGCACACTTACCAATGCCAGTGTTGGCACTCACCACCAGCATGGCAAAGTCTGGGCAGTAGCTGGTGAGGCCAAAGATGGTGGTTTTTAGGTACTTGTGGTGGCCAGCAAGGTCAATGAAGGTGATCATCTTGGAGGAGCTCTCACAGATCTCCTCTGCTGTCCGCGAGTCACTGTAGTTCACCACCTAGGAAGAAGAGGTCCCAGAGACAGGGATGGCATATGCAAAAGAGGTGGCAGAGGGCAGAAAAGACAACCTCGACCAGACCAACTCCATCTAAACAGAAACAAGTGCCATAGAGCATCAGACTCTGTGCCTGGAAAGGGATTATGCCTTATAGAGCCTGTAGACTGCTCTGGCTGTATTCTAATGCCAACCCTGTAGGACACTAATGTGGAGGCAAAAAGCAGGACACCAGAGCAGATGCCTGTTCCAAGTGGACAAGCAGCACCTTTTCCTAAAACCTCCAAGTACAACTTGATCTCTCCTAGGCTCTCTGCTGCTGCAGTGGGGGGCACAGAACTCCTTTCCTGTTTCTGAGGCAGGCCTGCTCTGCCCTCTGCCGCGACAGGTAGCACAGAGCCAGGGGGCAGATGTGTTCCTCCCACTCTTCACAGGGAGCAGGGCCTGTCACTCCCTCCACACTGCGGCAACAGCACTCACGCCATACCTCTCCCTTGCTATTGAAGCCAAGGATCTCAAAGCTGATGCTGGATGTTCTCCCTGACTGGATCTCATGGAGGTGCCGGAAGAGATTGAGACGAGCTCTGCCCCGCCCGTTATCCAACTCTCCCTGAGTCAAGACACCCAGCAGCGTAGACTTGCCCGAATCCACATTCCCCAGCACAGCCACTCGCAGGTCTAGGAACTAAAGAAAACGAGTCAGATCAGAAAAACCATGGGGCAGCCTGCTCCTGGCGCAAGGACAGCACCCCACAGCTGTGGTTGGCACTTGCTCGCCCTGTTCCCTCCAGACTGGGCTGGGAAAGGCAGGGATCGCCATGCAGCTCAACTTTTTATTAGATTCTGCCCTTCCCAGGATGTCACAGACCAGGGTTTATGCCGTCACCATGGCAAGTATGATGTCCTATGCCAGGCCTAGCACGTCGCAATAAAGGTCATCTACACACTTACTGCTACATCGGGCTGGATTAGAACTGGTGCTGTGGAGGCGAAAGGCTGCTTCAGATTTCAGTCCCTGACCCCTGAGCTACCCAGTCTCCCTTGTCTGTAGTGGGTTGTAGCTGGTACCTGAATATGAAAGGCTCTTTTCCCTTACTGCCCTACAGCTCTTCAAAGGGTGCCCTGTGAAGCATTCTACTGTGAAGTGACTCCAGGGTAGGGGTTCCCATCTCAAGAAGTTTCCCTTTCGGAGGAATGTGGTCTGAGAATCGCTGGTACCACAGGGCTCCCAGGTCAAGGAGAACGATGCAGCCAAGGGTTCCCTACCTGCTGGTTATCAGGTACTTTCCGGACAAGAACCTCTGTTATCTTTCTGGGAACATCGCTGTCATAATCCACCTCACGCTCTCGCAGGATGGTGATGTCAGCTCCGACCCTGCAAGGGGTGCAAGAGGGAATAGTCTGCCTGAGCGAGTGCATGATTGGTCACTTATCCAGGGGACCACCTGGCCAGAGCACCACAGAGGAGCTAGGAACAGGATTCAAACTGCAGGGTAGGCTGTAGGCTCTGAGAGCCATAGGGCAGAAGCCTCAGATCTTCAGACAGGAGACTCTCTAGCAGCAAAAACCCCAGAGCCTTGGCATGGCTGGTTTCCATGGCCGGGGGCCTCTCTGAGAGTGAGCTAGAAGAGGTCCTATGCACTTGGTTAGGAAATGAGCTCCCTTGATCGACAGACCTTTCAGAGGAGGGGTGAAGAGGAAGAAGGAGCTCCCAGGATCTTTTGGGGGTTGTGGGGAGAATGGGACAAAGCTGGGTTTCTCTGGTCCAGCATGGGTGAGAGATCCTGAGACACGTACTTTTCAGCCATCCGGCGCAATGTCTTGAGGGAGGCACGCATCTCCTCCTCGGAGAGGCCCACCAGTAGCCCATTGTCCTCCACACCAATCTGGTAGACAGCCTCACCCCGGCCTTCCTGCAGCCGCCACTTCATCTGCGTCACCAGGTGCTCAAAGCGATACTGCGAGGGATTCACCAGCTTCAGCTGCTCGAAGGAGGGAGCAGTTACAATTGCTGCCTGGGGGCAGAGAGAATCCCATCTCCCTGGGGCAGTGACTCCCTAACACTCCAATGCCCCCCACAGCAGACCCACCTCTGGGAAACACGCTCCAAGTGAGCACCTGCAGAGGAGCCAGTGGGATAGGAGAGAGCTGGTTACATGGAGACAAGAACTTCTGCAGCAGAACATTCCTGCATCTTACAGATGGTATCTGAGAACTCGTAGGAGGGATGCACTAGATTAGGGAGCCAGGGTCATGGAGCCACTGGGGCCCAAACCATTGGTCCTCTGGCTCGAATAACTAAGAATGGCAGGACTGCCTCCAAAATACAACGGGAAAGGGTCCTAAGGAAGGAGTGAGCGGGGTGAGGAGAGGGGCCTTAGACGGGTGTACACTCTCCTCTACACTGGTAGATGCACATGGGAGATGAAACATACCTGAGGGGCTGGGAGGTCCCCACCAGATACAGTTCCAAGGGATTCTACACTGCATGTTCTCTGGCATCCGGTTTCTCCCACTGGACTCAGAGAACCCAAAGTGAGATGGTTAGTGCCCTAATCAGTTCCCCCTCCCACAGGCAAGGCTTGGACGATTCCTGTTGGGGTATACCCCTGGGCATGGGCCCCATTTACCCTTTTGCTCAATTCAACCCCTAGGGCCCAAGGTTTCAGGGTAACTCTCCAAGAAGAGGAGCCCCCTCTGCAATCCCCTAAGGACTCACCTTGTATTCTATGTTCCCATCTTCTGCCTGATTGAAAGCCACAAGAGACATGGGTTAGCGACCAACACATAACACCCAGGCACTTTTCCCAGGTGACCCTTGCACACTCTACATGGCTTCCCTAACACCATGGAGCCCACACACCATTCTGGATAGGCTGGAACGACACTAGGCATGTTAACCAGCCCTTGCCAATTAACTCTGGCAGCAACCAGCCATGCCAGGCTGAAGCAATCCCCGCCACAGCGGTACATCCAAGAAACAGGCCGCGCGGCGGGGCCTAAGTTAAAATAGTTATGTGCTATCATTTAACAGGTTAGCAATTTTAATATCCCTAAACGTCACATGGATAATCCAGTGTGCTGCCAGCTTCGCAAGGAGGAAGCGGCAGGGGAATCAACATATACATTAAGTCATAGACTCCCCAGCGAGAGCTGCAGGCCATATTCTCATGCCGTACTGGAATCTTACTGTTTACCAAGCAGCTGGAACACTCTAGTATGAATGCTTGGAAGCTAAAAGGGGTTATATTGGAGTCAGATAATATTTTTAGTGCTAGCAAAAGAAAGTGCCCAGTTAAATGTCCTAAAGACCTCTTTGTCCACAACAGAGACAGCCCTGGTAGGGGAATGCAAAAGGAAAAGGCTCTTTACTCTGTTAAGCCTAAGCCATCTAGGGCCCTCCAACCCTATGTACATTATACTGCTCTAAAACCTGCATTCAAAACAAGTGAGCCTGAGAATCGCTCCAGCAATGAGCTGGTCTGTTAGAGACTCTCTCACCTTTCTTGACAGTGATTTCACACACTGCTAAGTGTTCCTCTCCTTGATCTGGCTCCATAAGCATGCAAGGCTGCCTCCCCCTCCCCTGGGGATTCTCCTCATAGCCACGAGGAAGGGAGTGCTATTGATATTACTCACTGGCCTGACAGTTCCAAGAAATAGCACCAGAAACTTCCCTGGCACAAAAGGGTTTCCCTAGGCCAGCTCATTGTAGGCAGAAACAAAAAGACCCATTAGTTTATTAATTCCATTCCATCCAAGGCAGGATCCAGCCTCCAGAGAGAAGACGTGTCCAATACTAAACTGGATCTCCCACTGATCTCTGTCCAAAGGTTACAGAGCCAGGGCCAGGCCTTGCAGGGAGCCAGGAACTCCAGTGGAAAGCACAATAAATCAGACTGACAGCAGGGTGAAAACTGACCTGCTTGGATTTCACCTCTTCTTGCCAGCTGGTTTCTCTAGATATACACAGCTCCCTCTGCTAGCACATGGCTCTGCCCAGCAAGGAAAGGTAAATCCCATCCTTGAATTCTAACTAAGCCCCAACCCACAATAAATGGCTCGTGGTGGCAAAGGGCCATAGTAGCCAGGCTTTGGGATTAGTAGCTCTACTCTTAAAAGTCCTGCTTAGCAAGGGTAACCCCTCCCATCCAGCCTTCAGCTCCGGAGACTGTCAGTATCCATGTTGTCCCCTGACCGCTGAAGAAAGCGTTTGTGCCCATCTCATGGTAATAACTGAGACTCTAGTGCAAACAGTACAAGGACAGTGACAAGTCTAGACTTGCAGGACAGTGGTACAGGCAGGATGTCAAGAGGACAGGAAGAAACTGACACCGAAGCCTTAAAGCAGTGGTTCTCAAAGTGTGGGTTGCACCCCCCTTTGAGTGGGATCACCAGGGCTGGCTTAGACTTTCTGGGGATTAGATTATAGGCCCCCTGCCTGGGGCTGAAGACTTTGAGCAGTGGGGCTCAGGCTTTGGCCCCCTCACACACGGCAGTGGGGTTTTGGCAGGCTCAAGCTTCAGTTCCTCCTTCTGGGGTCGTGAAATAATGTTTGTTGTCAGAAGGGAGTCATGGTGCAATGAATCTTGAGAACCTCTGCTTTAGAGGACTCTCTCTCCTGCAGCTGAAAGGTACAAGGCCCAAGTCACCACAGGGAACAATCCTGAGGATGGACTATTTAGGACTCAATTGGGATTAGCCTGTTCTAGCTTCTCAAGTCCTCATCCCCAAAAGCAAGGCATCCTGCCTTGGACAGAAATATCTGTCCCGAACTCTCAAATGGGAGTTAACACTCTGATGTTTTTGAGGATGCTGTAAACATCCTGTAATGAAACACAGGGCTAGACTATAAATGGTCATAGCAATCTACGCGCTCTTCAAGCCATCGTATCCATCAGCCCTATGCCCGTGGGAATTGTCTGAGCTCCAGCAATTAACGTGGCCACTTATCAAGCTTATTTTCACAACACAGCAGGCAAACCCTACCACGCATGGCACCACTGCTTAGGAACTGCCCTTCACTTTATCCAGGATTTGGTATGGACTCTCTTCAGCAGGGCTGGGCAAGATGCGGACCAGGGGCCAAATCCAGCCAGCCTAACACTTTGATCTGGCCTGTGTACTGCATCTGGGCACTTCCTATTTATATCCTGTTGCCTGTGCCACTGAATTTCCAGGTGGTGACTCAGGCAGCAGGATCTTATTTAAATGGCTCAGGAAGGAGTCAGAACTATGAGCCCTTTAAATAGTGGCAGGAACCCCAGGCGGCTGCCAGGCAATACGGTAGTGGTGAGATCGGGAGCTACAAGCCCTTTGCTGTGTTTTTAGTTGAAAGTCTCCAGTCCCAGACAACTCTGGGAGAGGCTAGTCCCCAGCCCTGCCCCTTCCAGCCAGGACCCTTCTGGGGAGGAGCTGGCCCGTGGTCATGTACCAAAATTCATTAAGTGGCCCCACTGTGAAAATTATTGCCCACCCCTGCTCTACAGACCAGAACTCCAAACTCAGCAAATATCTCCCAGATCAAATTAACAGTTCATGAAAGACGGGGGTGTCACTGGGCCTGCTGAGAATGTGTTTTCAGAGAATATGTCCAATCAGATCTCAGAAATGGAAGGGAATGGAGCATCTTGTGCTGGGTGCTGAGCTGTATGTCAGAACTTATTCCCAAGACTGTAGCTATAAGACAGCAAGGAGCACCCAAATGCCATGCCAGGCAGTCAGACTGTGTACCAACAATGCCATCTCACTCAACACCAATGGAGCTGAGTACCTCCACAGCACAAGTGGAGCACTACCACATAAGAGCTCTAAGGAGGGATTATCCAGGTGTCTCTCCCCCACAGAGGAGAAGCTACATTTATCTTTCATTTATCAGAGAGAAAGGTAGAGAAGGAAAAATGTACTAACAACATACTAAGGATGTGGCCAAGGTGGGGGAAAGGTTTTAATATGGCCTCATTAACCAACAGCTACACTAATACCCTATGCCTTAACAACAAGTACACACCAACACAATCTTCTCAGTTGACCCAACACAGGATCCACCCTCTAGAACTGTTTCTAGCCTAGTTAATCATCATGAAAACCTATTATATTTTTCCACACCTACAAGAATGAGGGCTAGGAAAGAAACAGCAAGAGACTAGGGTTACAAAGAGGGGCAGAACAAGCTTCTTTTATGGGATGAAAAGCTCTTCCCCCTAGCTTTTCCAAGTCTCAGCTCTTTCTGCATCATATTATTTTGTTGTTACTGTCTTACATCACTGAGGCTTGAAAATTTCACTTGCCTGTGGCTGTTGGAAGCTTTCCATGGCAGGAAATGAAGCATTCAACTTACAGAGAATCTAACCTGTCAATTAAAAAGCTTCCCTAGCCTTACAATTGCAAAGGCCTTTCCAAATGTGAACTGGTTTTAACAAAGGCAGGCAGCCAGCTTCAGTGATTATCATAGCTCAGAGCTCAAAAAAAGTGAGAAACTAATACAGCCTTTTTCTGTTCCCCCTACTTCTACTAGAAACCCTGAAATAAACAAGGACCTAGAACTCTCTTGCTGCTTGGCAAATTATAGCATGAGCCAAGGCAGGAACTGGAATTCTATGTCAACGTGAGGTGGAGAAGGTTGAAAGCCTCAAGTACAGGCATCTACTAGCCAGAGGCTGATATATCATCAGGCCAGTGGCACTGGAGTGAGATAAGGCCTTTCTGTGACTCCAGGATACAGTGCACAAGACAGCTGCACGCAGAGATCAAGAACCCACAACTCTCTATGCAGAGATGGTGACACTCTAGCCCTGTGGCCCCACATTGGTCCTACTGATCCACCCCACACCAATTCACAGCTACAAGGACCCTTTAGACCAGTGGTCACCAACCAGTAGATCGGGGGGAATCTACTAGTAGATCTTGGAGCCTCTGACAGGTGATCCTGACTGGTTTGGCCAAGAGGCTATTATCAAGTGCCAGCACTTCAGTTGCTCCTCCCCACTGCTGCGCCTCTCCTGCTCTTTGCCTTGGAACTCTCTCCCCCACTGGGCAGCTTCCTGCTTTCTGTGCAGGGAAGGGGAGAAAGTGCAGGGAACTCATGTCAAGGTGCCCCCTCCCACTCTGTATCCTTTCTCCACAGAGCAGAAAGGGGGCACAACAGGACTTGGGATGGAATTTGCTGGCTGCTTTAGGGAGTGGTGCAGGGTCAGGGCAGAGGTGAGCCTGTCTTAGCCCCACTGCACCGCCAACCAGGAACCACCAGCAGTGCCCAGCTGGAGCTCACATCCCAAACTCCTACCCCAGTTATGAATACCCTGCTGCGCCCCAAGCTCCTATCCTAGCCCTGAGCATCCCTGAATCCAAACCCCCTCCCAGAGCCTGCACCTAAAACCCCGCTACACCCCAACTGCCTGCCCCAAGGGCAGCTGAGAGCCCTGCTCACAATCCAAATCCCTTAATCCAAGATCAGAGCCTGCACCCCAACCCTCTGCCCCAGCCTGATGAAAGTGAGTGAGGAAGGGCAAAAGAGGGAAGATAGAGTGAGCAGGGGCAGGGTCTCAGAGAAGGGGCGGGAAGGAGGTGGGGCAAGGGTATTTACATTTGAGGTAGATTTTGTATTGCATTTAAATTTAAAAAGTGGTCTCACGCTTACAAAGGTTGGAGACCACTGAGCTATAGTGTTCTCCTAGTTTAACCGTCTTTTATTAAAGGATTTGGGTTCAGAGGCTCCCCAAATGTCTATTTCGTGGTCAGATTTTTCCTCTGATCTCAAAGG